CTTGTACGACATATGGCCCATCCCATTTTGAAGTGAACTTCCCTACAGGTTTATGGGAAGTAATTATGGGTCTTCGTACGGCAAGGACTTGATCTCCTACTTGAAAGGATCTCGGACGAACTCTTTTATTGAAGGCGCGAGACAATCGAGCTTGATAACATTCAAGACTCTATTGAGCTTCCAATCTCTTTTCATCAAGAGCTTCCAACTCTGCTAATCGAAGTCGAGCATTTTCTTCATTAGTGACCCCTTCTTGAATAGCCAGTCGTAACGAAGGTATTTGACGCTCAAGTGGCAAGACGACTTCAACTCCATAAACAAGTGAATAAGGAGTCGCCTGTGTTGGCGTGCGGTGAGTCGTCCTATATGCCCATAGAGCTTCTTCCATACGGTTATTCCAAGCTCGTTTGGATTTGGAGACGACTTTCTTTAACAAGTTGCATAGAGTCTTGTTGAATGCCTCCGCTAGACCATTGGCGGCAGCATTGTACATCGAAGAGTTACGTTGCTTGAAGCCAAAGAGATCACAAATCTTGTTCATCAGCCTATTGTCGAATGGCTTTCCATTATCCGTTATTATGTAACGAGGAATGCCAAATCGATAAATAATGTTTACTCGGATGAAACTTGCGACATTTTCCTTCTTTACTTCTTTAAGAGCAACAGCTTCAGCCCATTTTGAGAAGTAGTCAGTTGCAACCAATATGTATAGGTGCCCACCAGAGGACTTTGGCAGTGGTCCAACAACATCCAATCCTCAAGCGTCAAATGGCCAGGATGCAACAGTCGGGTGCAACACTTCAGGAGGTTGATGAATAAAATTCGCATGGAATTGACAAGCCTTGCATCTTTGAGCGTAGTCCAAGCAATCTTTTACCATCGTAGGCCAATAATATCCCATCCTCTTTATATGGAAGTGGAGCTTTGGTCCGGACTGGTGTGACCCATATACCCCAGAATGCGCCTCTTGCAAAGCTTGGAGAGCTTCTTCTTCTCCTAGGCATCGTAAGAGTACTCCCTCGAACGACCTTCTGTATAGAGTATCCTTGTAGTAAAGGAAGCGAGGTGCACGACGACGGATTTCAGTCCTTCTCCTCGGATTTTCTGGAAGTATCCCATAGCATAAGTAGTCGATAATGGGTTGTCGCCATTCTTCTTTCTCAACTTCAGAAACAGCAACAAGATGCTTGAGTTCGTTTTCTTCACCTTCAGCCTCATTTGGGGGCGGTACTAACCATTTTTGGCATACGGTAACTTGCGCTTGGTCAGGCAGGGCTAATGATGAAGCTAGAGCAGCTAAGGCATCAGCTTTCTTATTTTCTTTCCTTGGCACATGCTGAATAGTCACATCACCGAGCCACCCCATCAACTTTTTAGCGTAATCATGATATGGGCGTAGTTCAGGCTTCTTAACCTCGTAACTACCCAAAAGCTGATTGACCACTAACTGGGAGTCACCAAAGACTTGCAATTGCAATTTCTTCATATCAACGGCCATTTCGAGCCCAAGTATTAATGCTTGATACTCAGCAACATTGTTGGAACAGAGTTGTGTCAAGGTGAAGGAGTAAGGTAAGACTTCACCTTGGGGAGTGACAAATACTACGCCAGCCCCAGCTCCCCACGATGCGCAGCACCATCAAAGTACATCTTCCATGGAGGTTGAACTTCAACGACCATTGCGTCCTCATCAGGTAGTTCATTAGTTAGCTCCCAGTCATCAGGTATCGGATGATCTGCCAAGAAGTCTGCCAATGCTTGTCCTTTTACAGCCTTTTGAGGGATGTACAAAATCTCGAATTGTTGAAATTGGAGGTACCATCTCGCTAGTCGATCACTAAGAAAAGGTTTTGACATCACGAACTTGATGGGATTTGCTTTAGAAACAAGACGGACAACATGAGCTTGAAAATAGTGCTTTAACTTTTGAATTGAGAAGACTAGCGCTAAATACAACTTTTCAATTGGCGAATAATTTAACTCGTTAGGTGTCATCATCCTGCTAAAGTAGTAAAGAGAGTTTTCTTTCCCCTCACTATTTTCTTGGGCCAACAGTGCTCCAACAGACCTTTCCTGCACCGCAATGTATAGTATCAATGGCTTTCCTGGTATAGGAGCTGCTAAAACTGGAGGCTTCATCAAGTAGGTTGTGATACTTTCGAAGGAATTGCTACAAGCTTGATCCCACTTGAAAGGAACGCCTTTCTTCATGAGGTGACTAAATGGTTGGCACCTCCCAGCCAGGTTTGATATGAATCTTCTAAGGTATGCTAGCTTTCCTTGCAGACTTTTCAATTCATGGATATCTCGAGGCTCAGGCATTTTCAAAATGGCATCCACTTTGGCTTGATCAATTTCGATCCCTCGATGTCGGACAATGAAACCAAGGAACTTTCCAGAAGTAACTCCAAAGGCACATTTCAACGGATTCATCCTAAGTTGGTACCTCCGGAGCAATTCAAATACCATCCTCAAGTCTTTCATGTGGTCGCCCTTCTCTCTTGATTTCACCACCAAGTCGTCAACATAGCATTCGACATTCTTGTCGAGAAGATCGTCGAAAATATTCTGCATAGCCCTTTGGTAAGTAGCACCAGCATTCTTCAAGCCAAAAGGCATTACCTTGTAGCAATAAATACCCTTGGGGGTGCGAAACGCAGTAAGCTCTTCATCTTTTGGTACCATGCGAATTTGGTTATAGCCTGACGAACCGTCCATGAAAGACATCGCCTCGTAACCAGTAGTAGCATCGATCATCAGCTCTGGAATAGGAAGCGGGAATTCATCTTTGGGACATGCATTATTGAGGTCCTTGAAGTCAACGCATACTCGAATCTGGCCATTCTTATTCCTTACAGGGACAATACTTGAAACCCATGTTGGGTATTTAACTTCCCGGATAAATCCAGCTTCAATGAGTTTGTTAACTTCAGTTTCAATTAGGGGAACCAAGTCCGGCCTAAAGCGCCTTTGAGCTTGCTTAACAGGACGAGCACTATTTTTGATTGCAAGGTGATGGACTGCTACTTTCGGGTCCAAGCCAGGCATCTCTTTGTAACTCAAAACAAAGACATCCCTGAACTCCTTGAGTAACTCAATATAAGTGCTTTCTTCATCAACTTCCAGTAAAGCACTTAGGTAGGTGGGTCTTGGTTCCTCATTGGTGCCAAGGTTAACTTCTTTTAAGGCATCAACTGTCGTCTTCACTCCTTCTTCAAGTTCAGGTGGAGCATCTTTCGCATCTTCATCTTCTTTAGGGTCCCCATCGTTGAAGGATATGTGATAACACGGTGAAACATCCTCCAATTCTGCATTATCCTCCATTGAAGACGGAACACCATTCTCGCCTTGTACAGTGACATGATACGAAGAACCTACACTTTCTTCTTCTTCGTCACGTTCCTTAGTGTAGACCACAATATATGGCTTTACCTTCAGTACTTTTTTACATGAAACCACGAGTTTTGTCTGTCGCCTCATTCAAGAAGGAACCAAACTTCNCTATTCTATCAAAATTCTTTCCCATGTCATTTCCAAAAGCTTGCAAAAGCTGAGATCATTTAATCGTCTCAAATGCCATGAATCTCCCAAAAAAAAACGGCGAACTTGATATACGGCCATGGAGGCTCCGTCCATTATGGGCCAAATTTTGCCATAAGTGAATCAGTTAGTGATCTATTTTGCCCAGTTCTTTTTTATTAAGGCTAAATGTTCCGCGGCCAATCTAGATTAGGTTTTGGTGGAAGTGGAGCATGATAAATTGAGATCTGGTTGTAAATTTTTGTTTCTTCAAATTTTAAGAAGAAATACAGATAGCTTTTAGATTTGAGAAGAATCTTACTTTTGTTTGATTTAGAAGAACTAAGTTTAATCTAATTTTGTCCCTGTGAAACAACATGGCTTTGGGGAAGAAAGCCACACAGGCACGCAAGAAACGGTGGACTGGTTGATCGGGAATCCGACAAAAGAAAAAAGAAGTATTCTGAATTTGGTGAGCCCATATCATGTGGAGAAGAAAAGAGAAGTTGGCCAGAAATTTTTTCCGCAGAAGGTGTTCATTTCCGGCAATAAGTATGTGAGTTTATTTTTTTGGATGACTCCACGCGCTTGAAAAATGTGAGAAACACTTATTTTGCCATGTCAGTATATTGTGTTTAAATGACACGGTAAAGACCTCGTTAAAGTGTTCAAATGAAACAAACTTGAGATAAAGTGTCTAAGTGAAAAATGAAACAACTTTAAGGGGTTGTCGATGTATTTAGCCTTTCTCTATTATGGAGCTTTGAAGTGTGATTGATAGTTAAAAATTGAAGAATAGTAGATATGGTAGTTGAATATGGAGCTTTGGAGTGTGATTTATCAAAATTTTGATTATGGACTTGATTTGGAATAAAAGGGTAAGAGAGGGGAAAGGAAGAAGAGGAGAAATGGAGGGAGCTGGGAGTTGGTTTGGGAGGGGGGGGGGGGGGGGGGGAGAGATAGGGGGCCGATAATTAAGGAGGAGGAGGGGGCGGAGGGAACATGAGTGAAGAAAAGGAAGGAGTAGGGAGTAAGAAAAATTCAAGTAGAGGTGTTCAAATGAAAAATTCAAGAGTTCATATCGGCTCTGCAAACTGGTACAAGTTTAAGTGGGCCATTTCGATGTTTGAAATCGAGTGGGAAGGAAAATTAAAGATCGTTTATAAGACCGAGCCCAACACTTTGGGATTGAAGGGCAATTGATTGATTGATCCATCAGAATACTGCTACCATTGAACATGGGAGACGAATCCCTCAGCAGCAAGGCATGAGGACATATTCTTAATTTCAGTTCCACAAAAAAGAGAAATCACTAATGGGAGCCTTGGAGACACAGTAAAGTTGTCTCCATGTGACGTATAGGCCACGGATTCGAGCCGTGGAAACAGCCACTAATGCTTACATTAGGGTAGGCTGTCTACGTCACATCCCTTGGGGTACGACCCTTTCCTGGATCCTACATAAATGCGGGATACCTTGTGTACAGAGCTGCACTTTAATAAAGAGAAATCACTAAGGTATCATCTGATTAACAGTAATGTCTTCTTAGACAAACTGGTTCACCTAGATCACTAACCTAAAGTTAAAATTGTTCCTCATTCATCTAACAAACATCTCTATAAAACATGTAAACCATTTCAGCTTGCATTCTCAAAGTTCTTGAATAATATGGCCACCAATTGTTGTCACTAATGATTGTTGTCTCTTTAGAAACATCATCCATTTTAAATACTTTGTCCATCTGCAACAATCCTATCCTCTTGCAACGGTTCCTGTATGACATAAATTATCCATGTTTCAGATCAAAAGCAATGAAATGGAATATATATGAATTTGTTATAAGTCTAAGAGAGTAAGAGGGAACTAGCAATGATAAAACTAGGAGAATACAAACCTCAGGAAGTGAGAACTCCGTACCAAAAAGCACTATTCTCTTCGCCGATGGCGACTGATTCATCCATTTCCACATATATAAGTAGGACAAGTGAACTATGTGAGATAAGTTTCATATTTACCTGCAGTCGTTTATAATTTTGTATCCCTTACCCTTTGTATAAATAATGACTGCAATTCCTCCTGGTAGAATCGGTAAAAGAGAGTGACGTGTGATTTATAACCATGTGAAGGTTTTATATTTTAAGGGGTAGTTTGGTTGGTGGGATAAGGGATAACAATCCCAGAATAAAATTTGTGATTATTTTATCCTGCGTTTGGTTATGGGAATTAATTAGTCCCGGGAACCATTTTGTAATGGTTGGATTAACTACCTTCTGGTTGGATTAACTATCTCCTATAGAAGGTGAGATAGTTAATCATATGGGATATCGTTGTCTATCCCATCCTGGTAACCAAATGACCCCTAACTTCTTTTGTTTGATAACTTTAGAATGTCTTCATAAAGCGCAGAGTGGGTGCGGACAACAGAAAATTGTAAATCGTGGTATTCAAAGACTTTTAGGCCTATCGTTTGTGGACAGCTAACCAGGTTCGAGAAGCAACCTTCTCTCTGATTCTCTCACAGCTATGCCTACCTCCACAATCCCGACAAGGATTGACTCCTTTTTTGTGATGAGCTACCCATCTACTAATCTAACTTAATATTAGTATTTTTTTTATTAGTTAAAGTACATGTTTATCGATATTAAAACGTGGATATATTGAGTTTCTGCAAGAGATACACAAAACAGAAGTGGTAGTTCACAAATTATTCATCTCAGAAACGCAACATAAATAAGGCAACAACCCACAAGTAAATTTTCAAGGAACAAACTTTCTATGAAGAAATACCAGACCAAAAGCCTTACCAGACAATTGGATGCACCCTCGGCATTCTTTTTTGCTGTTTCGGGAATACCAATGCTAACATCTTCCAAGCTTCGATTAGCACTGGCTTCAATCGGAGGATTGTGCTAAAGACAAAATACACATCAGCTGCCACTGACATAAATTCCTCTAATACTGTCAAATTTGTAAGGTATCTGACCAAGTATATAGAAGCTGCAGAAAACTAACCCCTAATGCTGTGGAACGACCACCAATTTCTTGCTGGTTTTCAGTACTGAAAGACTCTTTTTGCTGAGATAGTTCATTGCTGCCAACATTTACAGCATCTATGGTTTTGCTTTGACCACTCAAATCGTTTATACCACCATCATTCTCATTCCCCTGCAATATTTCGAAATGCTTGCAGATTCATTTTATGAGGTACGCGATAACTTGAAAATTATGCACGCCAACCCCCCCCCCCCCCCCCAAAAAAAAAGAAAAAAAACCACCAAAGACTCTTTATGAAAATGATCTGACATCCAGGCACATTTTATTCCAATGCATATAAAAACAAATTAGGGGTTCTCTAGTCACACTTATACTCTACAAGACCTTATGTAGCTATAATAACAACAATTATGCCGTAATCCCAATTGGTGATGACTATGTCCAATTAAACCTCAATTGCATATCAGCAAATAACCTGAATTATCAGACAATCACTTATTGACAAACATCATGTGGGGAAAATAGTTTTCATTTTTCCTATCTCATGAAAACCCTTTTCGCTCCGCTTAGCCTTATCCTCCTCTAGGGGTATTTTAGAGCCTTCACGATTTATCAGAAGATTCATAAAGCTTATAACCTGCAGATAAAACAATGGACGGAAGCCTATTAATGTCCCATCCAAGAATTGCACAAATGACTTGACCATAGCCCTATGTGTCCGCCTTTTGTTCGTGTTGGTTTAGCATTTGAATGCTGAACAAGAGCCACACTATCCTTGAACCTCTTCCTCCAGCCTTTCTTACCCACCCCACAACACACAAGACAACCAAATTCCGCAATATCACTGTTCTTGTGGTAGCACTCTCTCAATGCACCATCCTCCGCGAAAAATTTCACAAGAAGGTTTAATCTTGACACCCTTCATTCGCCTCCCTGAAATACTAATCAACATTTTCAGTATCATCATCGTCCTCAGCATTTTTTGAGTACTCAAATATTCAGATACAGCCTTTAAAATTTGTTGATGGGCATGCTTCGTCCGCGAAACGGGCCAAGTCTTGAGTGGTGGGAAAATGGGGTTGTGAATTGGATTTGTGGATAGCTAACCAGGTCCAAGAAGCAACCCTCTCTCTCAGAACCATATCACCGGCCACCTAACTCCAAAATCTTATCTAGAATTGTCTCCTTTTTTTCTGATGAGCTATCTATCATCGACGGCCTACAGGTCTAACTTATATTTATAGAAGGCCTATTCCCTTGTGGACTGCTAACCAGGTTTGGAACTTAACCACTTTATCACATCACACTCACGGGTCACCTACCTCCACAATCTTGTCTAGGATTGACTACTTTTTTGTGATGAGCTTCTCTAATCCACAGAAATCTTATATTAGAAGTTTTTTAAAAATATTAGTTAAACAACATGTTCCTAAAAATATTAACACTGGATACACTGAGTTACCGGAAGAGATGCTCACAACAAAGTGGTAGTTCAAAAATTATTCATCTGATAAGTGCAACATAAATTGGAAACAACCTCTCTACCTCCCCAGGGTAGGGGTAAGGTCTGGATACACACTACCTCCCCAGACCCCACTCGTGGGATTTCACTGGGTTTATTGTTGTTGTTGTTGTTGTAGAAGTGCAACATAAATAAGGAAGACAACCTAGAAGTATATTTTCAAGGAACAAACTTTCTATGAAGAAATACCAGACCAAAAGCCTCACCAGACATGCACCCTCGGCATTCTCTTTTGCTATTTCAAGAATAGCATTGCTGACATTGACTTCATTCAAGGAGTTGTGCTAAAGAAAGAATACAAGTTAGCTACCACTGAGATAATCTCCTCCACTACTGCAGATTTATAAGGTATCTGACCAAGCATATAGAAGCTGCAGAAAACTAACCTCTAATGCTGTGGAGCCATCACCATTTTCTTGCTGGTTTTCGGTACTTAAAGACTCTTTCCGCTGAGATAATTCATTGCTGCCAACATTTACAGTATCTGTGGTATTGCTTTGACCACTCAAACCATTTTTACCACCATCATTCTCATTCCCCTGCAATATTTCAAAATGTTTACAAATTCAATTTATGAGGCAATGCAACAACTTGAACAGCCAGTATGAAGGTAGCTTGGCTAAGTCAATATTAACTATAATGGTTTTGAGCTTATAACTTCATGGTTTAATCACATTGGAAACTTGACCACAGTGATATGAACTTAGTAATGTTAAAGCGGACAACATAAGAAATTCCTTATGATTCTATTCCTCGACCCCCCCCCCCCCCCCCCCAGTGTTATCGAAGGTGAAAAGCGCAAATAAAACGTGGGCTTTAATGGAAAAAGGCGCAACTGGAGAAAAAGTAAAAATATGTATATGTAGTCCAACACTAATAATTATAAGCATGAATAACACATATACGGACAAAGAAATTGGAAAAAAATTACGAAAAAATAAAATATCAATTGTTTAATGTCGCTTTTACAGGATTACACTCATTGACAAGGAAAAGTATGCCTTAGAGCCTTGATGAAATACTAAAGCGCACACAAAGCGAGGCGAAGCGCTCAACATGTTTTGAGCCTCGCTTCAGGGCTTAAGTGCGCTTTAAGCACGCCTTTGACAACAACCCCCCCCCCCCCCC